TTTGCAATTTATTTTTCCTAGTAAATAATATATCACCTGTAGGTATAGCTCTAATTCACTTTTTTTAAATTATTTATTTATTTATTTGTGTGTGTGTGTGTGTGTGTGTGTGTGGCCAGCTCAGCCCACCAGGGGGCGGGGCTGGCTGGCATGTGGTGCTGGGGGATTGAACCGCGGTCCCTGTGCTTTGCCAAGCTTGTTCCAAGTAGGTGCTTTAGACCACTGAGCCATCTCACCAGCCCCTCTAATTCACTTTTTAAAATAGTATCAGGCCTGTAGATCTAGAAATAGCACAATATATTCAGCCATTTCTCCTTTGACAAATATTTATGTTATGTGGGTGCTGTGGTTTGAATGTGGTTTGTCCCTGCTGAAACTCATGTCATAATTTGATTGTCAATGTAGCCATGTTGGGAGGTAGACCTCTGAGCAGTGTTAATGTTTTCCTTCAGACACTAGGTTCTAGTGGGACCTGTTAGCTCTCTCCATAGCAGTCTGTGGAAGCAGGGCATCTCTTCTGTCCCCTCCCTCTCTATGGATCTTCTTCCCTTCCATTCACTACCAGCAGGACCCTGCCAGAAGCCATGCTGTGCTGGCACCATGTTCTTGGACATTCACAGCCGTAAGCCAAAATGACTCTCATTCCTTTATGAATTATCGGGTCTGTGGAATGCTGCTCAGCAGCAGAAAATGGACTAGGATCCTGTTTTCCACTAAAAATATTATTGTGTTAAATATCTTTAGATGCATATCCTACTCTATTGGTGTTTTTATTTCTGTAAGTTACATTTCAAAAATAGTATGGTTGAATCAAAGAGTATTTGTACTTGGCATTGTAATAAATAATACTCTTACTTTACAGAATGTTGTAGTAATTTACACTCCAACAATACATGAGCACTTCCAGATCCAGTTGACCAATATTAGACATTCTCTCTCTCCATCTCCTCTCCTCCTTTCTGCCTTTATTGTTTTATTTTGTGGCAAGGCTGATGGGGAAAGTGGTGTCTTATAGTTGCTTAGTTTATGTATTATTTACTATTGGTGAGATTGAACATGATTCACATTAGTTGGCCACTT